CGAAAGAACGGCCGTTAAATGAAAATTGTACATTGAAAAATTTATGACGATTTACGCTAGTGAATGCAAAATGCGGATGTAGAGCAACCACCATTCGTGCAGTTAATGACCTGAGTGCTTCAAGTCTGGTGCAAAATTGCGTGGTCGCACTGGCAAGCCTGCTGCGTTTCAGCCTGGGTTTATTACTCTCATCACCATGGCTTTCCACCTCTCCGTTTCATAACAGTAAGATGTCTGCTCCCAAGCAAATTTTAGGGCATTTACGCTGTACGCAGCAGCAGTGCTGTTTTCATTTCATGTTTTCAGATTCTCGAAATGCCTTGCGACAGGACATACGAACAGCTGAAATTGTATTTTACGTTTCTAAAGCCACATATGTTCGTAACGATGCTTCTAAATTTTGCCACTTTAGCTTTTGTTGTGAAGTTATCCCATCGCGACAAACAGACCCTACAGAGGTGCATTCGCAAACAAACAAACGCATGCAAACTACAAACAGGCAAAGACACTTAGGCATAACTATTGACTAAATTTGAGCCTGCAAACAAAGAAAGGTATACAAAACGATCTAAGAACTGATTTTGGATTTTTAGTGCCAAAAACTGTCAGGGATTTTCTTTAAATTTTGCCTTCACATCAGGCTTCAGATTTGTAAAGCTTGTCCGAATGCAAACTCTAGATCAAACATTATGACACAAAACGGCTTAGGAATAAATTTCAGTCTGAGAGCTCGTTCCGAGTAATTTACGTACAATATTTCAGCTTTTTTACCCTTCTGGAGAGCAGAATGTATGATCAGACAGTTAAATATGATCTCATTTTGGCGTATTTTTACGTCCTAGTGCAACACATATCGGCATGGATGCTAGACTGGGCAATGATTCTTGCTCAGACACATTTGCTTTTGATCATGTAAGTGAAGCAAGTAAATGTCTAACCTTACGTAGGGTTTCGGGCGCGAGCCAACGTACTGGCATATGCCTTAATTTGTCAACGCTTATCACATTTTTGTCAGCCACAGAGAGCCCAAAATCGCTAATTTTCACTTCATCCGTTTTACTGATCAAGCAGTTCCTGGCTGCTATATCGCGATGTATTATCTGTAACAAGCACTGCATAGCAGTAACGCTTCTATTGTGCACAGAGAGAATTTTTTAAAATGTCAGTGGATACCTTTCTTAAAGACAGATAAACCATTCCGCGTGCTGCATCAGTCGCATACGAAACGAGCTTCTTCACTGGTATCTCAGGTGAGTTTCTAAGTTTCTTATGCAACGATCCATTCGGGCAAAGCTCAAGAATGATCATCACCGGATCCTCTTGTGGAGCAACACCCAGCAGATTGACAATATTCGGATGGCTCAGTCTTCTCATCAGTTTCGCTTCCTGCAAATTTTTCACTTTTAGTATCAGGTTGCGCTTCACCAGCTCAAGCATTAAGCAGAATGGGCACCTCCTTTTGGCTAATTGTTAAAGGAACACAACTGCCTGCAAGAAAAAATCCCGTAGAAGGAAACTTTTACATACTTAGATTTGCCTTACAATTGTGTCTTTCCTGCCTGTGCTGACCTTTTCACCAAAAACATTTAAGCTGAGATCACTGAAGTCGACTTACCAAAATTTTGAACTTTTGTCTTTTTTCTGTAGTCTTTTTAACTGAATTTCAAGAGTATCAAATCTGCTTGGACTATCATAGCGAATATCCCTTGCTGATGATGTTATTAAAATGCTCGTATACGCCGACTAACTAGATCTTTCGATCCTAAACTGCTAGCTTTTTTTTGTGTATCTGGGATGTCGGAGTGATGGCTAACTTTCCCTCGGGCACAAGTTGCTAATGGGCATC